CGGGTTAAATCAAATCAAATCAAATTTTAGCACTGCCAGTGTTTGATTTCAGAGATTATTTGGTTCAGGTTCAAGATTACTAGTGAAGTGTGTTTGCTAGTGTACATTTGTCTGTAGTGTATTAACTTATTGATAGATATTGGCTTTGTACAGTACTTATTAACTTAGTTTTATTGAGTGCTATGCGCTATTGCTCACACTAACGGGTCTGGGATCTGCAAATGAAAGCAAGAAAGAGGTGTGTCAACAAAAATTAGGCATGTAAAGGGGAAAAAATATATGAATGCTGACTAATTGCTGTTTGATATTCAATCATATTGTATTGTATCCTGCAAAATAGAGTGCCGTAGTAGTGACTCCGACAACCTGGAACTGAGTTAGCATTTTTGCATTTCTGGTTCTCTCACCCTGAAGTCCGCAGGTTTTTGATTATGCCTGGTTTTGTGTATTTAAAATTTCAGTAGAAAAATTAGAAATTAGAAATTTAGAAACATTTCACAGTCTTATAGAAAAACCATGTGGGTATCTTCAAATGTTGGTGCAGATTTCCCAGTTTTTGTTGCCATCTCCCCACCACACCTGTCACTTTGTGGGAAAACAATGAGGGAAATTTGTACTTAAAACAGACCTTGAAGATACTTACTCTAGGTGATCTTTCTAACTTTCTAACAAGTACAAAAAGGTGTTTATTCCTTTTAGTGGAATGACTGGGCTTGTACAGCCCACAGGTAGGTGCTGTTCATATTTGCCGAGCTCTAGTGGGAGATATCTACACATTTTAGAGGGAGATTGGTTTCTCTGTAGGGCAGCATTTTCAACTGTTTGGTTCTGAATTCCTGAGCCGTTTGTTACATTACAGACGAAAACAGAGGCAGGTAAATTTTCACTGTTCTGTTCAGATTCTTTGTACAGTATTTCACATTACCCACTTGGATTTCTTACTCAGTGACAGCATGTCATTGCCTAAGAGATGTTTTTGTGTTACTGTCCACAGTACAGGTCTGATAGGCTCTTCTGTGATCACAAGGTGATAACTATTTTTCATGATCAACCTCACATATCTCTCTTTAGCTGTGTGTATGTGATGTGTATATATATATATATGTGTGTGTGTGTGTGTGTGTGATTCAGAATTTTAGAAGGCAGAACAGAGACTGTGTCTTTTGTTC